GGATCAGCAATTGGCAAGGCGTCACAGGGAGAATTCAGCATCGTTAGGTCTGCTGGACAGAGATCATCTTCGTATGCAACTGGAAGGGCATCTCAAGGTGCCTATACTTGCAACTAATGTGTTATTGTGATTTTTTGAATTGATCGCATTCCCATATGTTTCTTCTTAGTGGTCGTAATTAATAATAACAAATGGTACTTTGCAGGATGCGTTAATCTAAAAAGATGCGGCTAACTCAAGCATATTAAACTTTGTCCAACCAACATATTCAGGTTGAGTCGAGCCAAGGTCCCAGAAACGATCTGGCAAGTTTGATATCTGAAAAGAAGTACGAGAAGGCTTTCACCACTGCCCTCCAAACAAGTGACCGATCCACTCTTTCTTGGTTATGTTCTGAGGTAACTGATTTTGACGGTTCCAAATCATTGTTTTCGTGGTCTCTATAACATCACTTTTATTTCTGATCTGAACATTTTGGAGTGAATGAACAGGTGGATCTTCTTGTATTTTTGTCCATGTCTCCTCTCCCTTTAAGCCAAATAGTGTTGCTGACGCTATTGCAGCAAGTGGCACTTGATCTAAACATCAACACACCTCAGAAAATCAACACATCTCAGAAAATCAGCTGGATCACTCATTTGCTGCAGCCATAGATCGCATGGATCCCATGATCGCATTCTATGTCAAGCCTGTGTTTGAGGACTCTATCGTCGATGTTGCTATCCTTCCATCATTGGACCCCACTTTCCCAGCATCCGTCACCGTGTCCTGCAGTATGTTATCAATTCCATTCTCATGAAAACAAGCAAATGATTCTCTTTTTGTTGCAACATTTGCAATTCACTTCCCAAGAATAAGAAGCACCAATTTAGGTTTTGTTTCGGTTGATTCAATGGTTTCAACTTAGAATGTTAGATTATTGAATCTTTTTTCTATTGTTCTCTGGTTAAAGCTACTAAGAACAGAATCACTCATCTGCGTCGCTCTCAAATACCAAATTTCTGTAAAAAGATTGTTTTTCTTTTTGAGTAAAAACTGAAACTTCATTCACAGTCTAAAATCAAACCTGTCACTAGTCGATTAATATTTAGTACACATTAGACCACTTACCAAACATCCCTCATTTGCGTCTTTGTTCGCCATTATTCTGAAAGTGAAGACGAGGGGTATTTTAGTCTAAAACGTGCGGCTTACTAAAAATTTACGCTTCGTTTTCCCAAATTTAATCTAAATCATTTAGAGAGGTTTTCTCCGTAACTGTAGGGGTATCTCTCTCCAATTAAGGAATTTTAAATAATTAGGTATAATAAGATTTAAATGAGTAATTTTTCTTAAAATAATATTGTATTAAAATTAAAAATTAAGATAATTGTGGAATAATGGAGATAATAGGAGATATGGACATCTATACTAATATTATATTCGTATTACAATTAATGATTTTTTTAAAAAAATAAATATAGATAATGACTAATTTATGTCATAATACTGAATTTCTATTTTATTAAGTTTGTACGCAAGCGTTTACAATATTATTTTTATATATTAACTGACTTATATATATATATATTAAAAGGAGTATTTCTTTGAAAATTGTAGCTTAATCATAAAAATTTAGGATTAGTAATTCATTTCCTAATTTTCGTATAAATCATTTAGAGATATCGCTGGAATTTTAGATTTAGGATGGGAGACTGTTGAGATTCTAGATATGCCAAATGATTCTCTTTTTGTTGCAGAAATGTGCGATTCACTTCTCCAAGTAAAATTTCTTGTCTGAATAAAGAAGCTTTATTTATATTAAAAAAAATTCACCAGGCACTTATTTGAATTTCCAGAAGTTTGGCAAGCACAAGCCTGCAGAAGCGAAAGAGACACAAACTTGACCCCAACACTTCATGAGATACTTGGATCAGCATCATGTCTATAAGCACAGTAGCACTATTAACATTAACAATAACACAATAACAAAATGTCCAGAGTCTTTAACACAATGGATAAGCCTGGTGGTCCCGTAACATCTGGGTGAATTATTTGCAGTTGGATAACAAGAAGCTTGAGGTTTCAAAAACCCACAAGCAACGTGGTCCCGTAATGCACGTTATTACTATTCTTAGCATCTGAAACTATATTCACCAAAGTTTCAATCTTTGGCAATATTTTCGCATCCTTTTTGTGTTTGATTTTGTACATGTTGCTTTTCTTTTCTTTTTTGTGTATTGTCCTGTTTTATTTTCATTCTCCCCCACATTTTTGAAATTGAGAGTAATCTTTCTTCATCTGTGGGTTTAATTGGGCGAATCAGCTCATATCTTATGGCAAGAGTTACAGAACTGCAAAGTTGAACATTTTGGTACACTCCCTCTTTTTGGTAGAAGTCACTGTTCTGCATCATGTTGTTTAATTGGCATCATCTTTCATCTAGAGTTACTAATTAGTTAGATAACAAATAATAATAATAATTGGTCTGATTATGAGCACTAACTGGCATATTCTCATGCATAACTTGTCATTAATCAGGATTGCCCTAGCGTCTAAGTTTATTGGCCTTCTTGTCTGTGCTTGTGGATAGCTTCAAATGGATCACTCATTTGGCTGCAACCGTAGACTCCGGTTTTCGAGCATCCGTATCCTGCTGCTTGTTATTATGTCTATTTCATGTTTATGTAAATTATTCTCTTTTTATTGCAGAATAGTGCAATCACTTCCCAAAGTAAAAATTTTTGTCTGAATGAAGAAGAAGCAGGGCTTTTGATATAAATTACTTTTCTGGTCCTAAATATAAGATCTATTTTGTCGTGTAAATTACACGACAAAATAGATCTTATATTTAGGACCAGAGTAGTATATCGATATTTTCAACTTAAAATCTTTCCCAATAAGTTTTTCAAATCTATATACTCTTTCCCAATAGTTTTTTCAAATCTATATGCTCAGTTCCGCCAAATTTCAATAATTTTCTTTGTTTGATAGTGGTGTCAGGCCGTCAGCATTTTGTAATGCTTTAGTTATAAAGGCATTATTAAGCTATATGATTGAATTGATAACGACAAAGAATTGCATTAGGAGCACTAAGATATGAAGCTGTCTAATCATCAACAAAGCAACAGTTATTTGAAAAGTTAAAGCATTATTAAGCTATATGATTAGCATTAACATTAACAATAACATAATAACAAAATGTCCAAAGTCTTATGAGCCTGGTGGTCCCGTCACATCTCTGAGTGAATTATTTGCAGTTGGATAACAAGAAGGCTGAGGTATCAAAAACCCACAAGCAACGTGGTCCTGTAATGCAGGTTATTAGCATTCTCAGCATCTGAAACTATATTCACCAAAGTTTCAATCTTTGGAAAGAGTTACTGAATTGCAAAGTTGAACATTTTGCTACACTCCCTTTTTTGATAGAAGTCCCTGTCCTGCATCATGTTGTTTAATTGGCATCATCTTTCATCTAAAGATACTAACTAGTTAGATACCAAATGATAATCATTGATCTGATTATGAGCATCATCTGATATCTTATGCATAATTTATCATTAATCAGGATTGGCCTTATGTCTAAGTTTATTCAAAATCCTATCAATCAGGATAGCTTCAACTGGATCACTCATTTGGCTGCAGCCATAGACTCCAGTTTTCGAGCATCTGTCTCCTGCTGCTAGTTATTATTTCTCTTTTGATTGATTCAATGACTTCAACTTAAAATGTCAAGTTATTGAATCTTTTAAAATACGTCTAAAGTAGATATAAATTATATTGATATCTTCAACTTGACATCTTCCCCAGTAATTTTTTCCAAATCCATATACCCAGTTCCACCAAATGTCAATAATTCTCTTTGTTTAATAGTGGTGTCAGGTGTCGGGAGCATTTTGTAATGCTTTAGTTATAAAGTTAAAGCATTATTAAGCTATATGATTTAATTGATAACGACAAAGAATTGCATTAGGAGCACTAAGATATGAAGCTGTCTAATCATTAACAAAGCAATAGTTATTTAAAAAGTCTGTCAAGTTCTCCTCACCAACCTGCACTTTTTAATTTGTTTCTCGATTGTGAATGGGAATGTCTTTAATATCTGGCTGTGACAATGAAACACTGGCTGTAAGTTGTAACTACCTTACATTTTATTTTATTTTTTTTCCTGAGTGCTTTAGATTTTGAAAATGTATTTTCGTTATGTGATGACGCCCAAATTGTTTTGACATGGATTGGCAGCAATGTAACCAAAAGTCTTGAGCTTTAGATATGCTTTAACAATTTCGTCAGAGTCCCCGAAAATGGAGTTTGGATGCAACAGGGGATCCCCAGGCAGCTCCAAATCGGCAGGATTCGCTTTTTCACTGGCTTGTTCCATTAAATCTTCTTTCTCATTTTAAGTTAATATGAAAATTCTCATAATCTTCCAGAATAATGTTAATTAGCCTTTGCACCTTGTACTTGGACTCCTGAAAAATTACGCATCATTCCTAATCTGCCATATAGACAATTTACATGAGAATCAGAGAATTCAGAACCGTCTTTCCCTTTTCCCTAAAATCTCAGCTCCAACAACTCACTCGGCCACCGATGAAGAGAAATGTATTGGAATATCAAAAACGAGAGAAATGATAAAAGCTCCATTCACAGGGGTATCTTGAGAGAATTCGCTACTTATATCTACTGGCAAAGTCTCTTTTGCCTGCTGCATTAGGGCAAAAGAATCTTTAATCCACACTTTCAGACTGCTACTATGCTACTACATAACATTCCTGCTTAAGTTTGTCAAGGAAACAGAATTTTAGATGCTCTCCTTGTTGAGCGAAATTCATCCCCATTTCCCTCCAGTAAACAATTGACAAGCTAAAGATGCAATCATTCGGATTACAGGGAAAGAACAGAAGAACACTTGACGATGTTTTAAATTGCGAGCACTGTCAGAAAGTACCATTTACAGTATACTACTAGGATTAGAATTTCTCTCTCTTGAAACGTGTGCCGTTTTACTTTCACTGGCGATGGGCGAACCTGTTTGCCGGAAAATCCCTCCGGATCGTACTTCGGAAGAGGGGACTTTGCAGAATCAGTCAAAAAAATCAAAGAAGGAGATCAAGGAAGACACACTGATGTCAGACAAAATGGAAGATGCGGAAGGTTGTTTCGATGAGAATGTGCCCCAGATGTCTAAAGTGCACAGCAGCGAAAAAGAACAGGGGAGGTCATATCGTGATTCCCTCTTGGGTTTCAAAGCCCAGGGCTTCAATGGGATTGCTCACAGTAACTCAACTATGGAAGAAGACCCATTGCTATCTGATTTATTAGATCAAACATGGAAACTACCAGAACCATCGGAAGATATCAAGAAACTAATGGAAGTATACCCGGTAGTTCCATGCACTGAGGAGGAGTTCAATGAGTGTTGCCAACCGTGGAATAATGCACTAGTTATCACAGTTCTTGGTGCGAGGTTCCATTTATCCAGATTAAGAGACCAGCTATCCAGGATATGGGGATTCAGTGATTTTGAGCTTATTGACCTCCCAAACAATTACTATGTAGTTCGTTTTGGTGACGATGAACTTTGGGGAGCAAGATACAAGAAGGTCCTTTTTGAAGGTCCGTGGATTATAGCTCAACACAGTGTACTGGTTCAACGATGGTCTCCTTACTTCGACCCTTTCCAGAACCCTCTAGGGAGAATTGCCACCTGGGTGAGGATTCCAAATATACCGTTGCACTGCTACTCAAAGAAGTATATATGGAGACTAGGAGACATGATAGGAAAGACAATAAAGGTAGACATGCACACGATAGCGAATATCGATGAGTCCAAAGCAAAGGTGGAAAGAGGACGGTTTGCACGTATCTGTGTGGAATTGGACCTGCAGAAGAAACTGGTACCAAGAATAATCTGCACTTCGGCACTATATAATGTCGAGTATGAGGGTCTGGGGCTGATATGCTTCTCGTGTGGTAGGTACAGGCACCGAAAAGAAGCTTGCCCATGGAAGCCCAGCTCAGGAGAACAGCGGAAGGAGTGCAATAACACCCCAAATGTAGCATCACCGAACTACAGTTCGCCGGCGACCCCAGTTACGACAGAGGACGAGAAGTTCGGACCATGGATGTTTGTCAAAGGCCCTAGCCGAATACGGAACTCGAGGCCTGTGAATAGGAAAAGTACAGGAGCCGAAAACGGGTCTCATCAGCAGTACGAAAGTAAAGAAGGGAAAAGATATCCACAGACAAGATTTGCAGCTATAGCAGACCTGGAAGAAGAGCCGAAAGAACAAGACGGTAGGTCCACTGATCTAGACGGAAGGGCTAATCTGCTGCCAAAATCTGGGAATGAAATAGTTATCTACGAAGGGCGGGTAGACCACCAGAAGGAAAAGATGATGGGTCCTATGCCCAAAGGAAAAGAAAAATCGAAAGGGGGCTTTAAAGTCAAAACAGGACAGATGGGCTTGGGAAAAGAAAATAGAAGTCCCGCTTTGGTAGCCCAGAAAACAAAAGCCCAAACCAGCAAGTGTTCGGTGACAGAGAAAGAAGGAGGAGTCCAGGAAACAAGCACAAAAGTAGGACCCAGGAAACACAGTCAAAGGACCCATATAGTTGTCAGTGGAAGTTCAAAGTCGACAGAGCCCATAATGCTGGAACAAAATAATGAAGTCCACCGAGAGAAAATGGAAGGAGTGGTGGTGGAAGGCGCCATAGAAGGTGGCAACGTTTATTCAGAAAATCAACCAAGCCTGGCGGGGAAATTAATGGAGACAGAGAATACATCAATTGCGCAAGCCCCTCTGTGGGAAGCTATGGAGGATGAACCAGGAAAGAATCTCTCGGGGACTAGTATATCTGGAAGTGTGCAACGCAAGGGCATCTCGTGTGAAGGTAAACCACCCGATCAATAAGTTGTTGGTTATTGTTTGGGGGTCTTTCCTTTTGTTTTTAATGATTATCTCTTCCTGGAATTGTCGTGGGGCAGCTGGTAGAGCCTTTCCACGTATTTTTAGAGATATTGTAAGGAAATATAGTATCAATGTCATGGGTTTATTTGAAACTAGAATAAGTGGAGTTAAAGCAGAGAAAGTGATACGCCGATTGGGATTTAACAACTGGATCAGGGTTGAAGCCACTGGCTATGCAGGAGGAATATGGGTTCTATGGAACGAGGAGGAAGTGTCTGTTGAATATATTTATTCCAACACGCAATTGCTCCATTGCAAACTCACGGACATTTCTTCGGGCGAGGTAATATCCTCCACTTTTGTTTACGGTGACACCACAATATGCAAAAGAAGATTGCTATGGGATTCCCTGAAAAAGATTGCGGAGAGTGTCAACGGGGCCTGGACTGTAATGGGTGATTTTAATGCTTTTTTGGAGCCTGGGGACAAGTTAGGGGGCACACCACCAGTTAGGCAGATGATGGAATCCTTCCAATCCTGTGTGAATCACTGTGAGCTGATGGAGATACCAGTAGTAGGGGACCGTTTCACGTGGGAAAGAGAAAGAGTCAGAGAAAGATTGGACTGGGCCTTTTGTAATTCAGACTGGGAGCTAACTCACCCTCACTTCAGAGTCTACCATCAGCTACGCTTCAAGTCTGATCATAGAGTTTTGGTGCTGGCCGGAGAGAAAATTGACAGCTTTCAAAACTCAAGGAAAACCTTTAAATATCAGGCAGCGTGGTGCCTTGAATCTGATTTCAAAGAGCTAGTCAAGTCAACTTGGGAAGGGAAGAACTGGAATGAAGGCAGAATTTCCTTTGAAAATAAGGCTTCTGAATGGAATGAGAAAGTGGTTGGTAACATTCCCAAAAAGAAGAAGGAGGTTCTGAGGAGGCTGGAGGGAATTGATAGGGTTCGGCAGCAAAATACCAGTAATGGTCTCTTCAAACTGGAAAAAAAGTTGTGGAGGGAGTTGTGGAAACTTAACACGCAAGAGGAGCTAATTTGGTACCAAAAATCAAGATGCCAGTGGCTCAAATTTGGAGACAAAAATTCGAAATTCTTCCATGCTACCACTGTGATGAAAAGAAAGAGATCTAAGGTTGAATCTTTGCAGGATGAAAATGGATTTTGGCAGTCTGATCAGAAAATTCTAAGTCAAATGGCCCGTGATTTCTTCAAAGCTCTGTACACAAAGGACCCGTATGTCAAGAAGGTAGATAACTGGCCAGCTGGGTTTCCCTCCCTTACCCTAGAACAGATTGAATTCATTCAGCGTGAAGTGACAGAAATAGAAATAAAGACAGCGGCTTTTGACATGGGTGCTTTCAAAGCACCGGGACCGGATGGGTTACAACCTCACTTCTTCCAATCACAATGGCAAGAGATAGGACCAAAAGTTTGTGAGCTGATTGCAAACCTCTTTAAAGATCCGACAGGATTAAATGAGATTAACCACACTAATATTGTGCTGATTCCCAAAGTTGAGCATCCGACTGAACTCAAGGATTTTAGACCCATTTCACTGTGCAATGTTTGCTTCAAAATCCTCAGTAAAGTACTGGCAAACAGACTGAAGGGAGTCATGGATTTATTGATTCAACCGAACCAGTGTAGCTTCATCAGTGGGCGGCATAGTAGCGATAACATCATTATTGCTCAAGAGGTAATTCATACCATGAGGTCGAAGAGGAGTGGGCAAGGATTTGTAGCGATCAAAGTTGATATGGAAAAAGCGTATGATAGACTTGATTGGCAGTTTCTAGAATTTACACTCTGCAGTTTGGGCCTAAGTGGTAGTTTTGTCAACTTGATTATGAAGTGTGTTTCCTCAGCTTCCATGAGAGTGTTATGGAATGGCATACCCACTGAAACGTTCTTCCCAACAAGGGGGTGAGACAAGGTGACCCCCTAAGTCCGTACCTTTTTGTAATCTGTATGGAAAGATTAGGCCAACTGATAAATACCGAAGTGCAAGAGGGGCGGTGGAAACCCATCTCGCTGTGTGGCGGGGGACCTAAACTAACGCACTTGTTCTTTGCAGATGATTTGGTATTATTCAGTGAAGCCTCTCAAGACCAAATGGAAGAGATAAGAAATACTATGAGATTCTTTTGTGAAGTGTCAGGACACAAGATAAACCTTCAGAAATCCAGAATGTTTGTCTCCAGGAATGTCCACTCAAGCCGAGCGAACTCCCTCAGTCATTGGTTGGGAATTAAACTAACTGCAGACCTTGGAAGATACCTAGGGGTCCCTTTACTGCATAAGAGAATGATGAAGGTAACCTTTGCACCGATTGTTCAAAAGGTTAGACAGAAGCTTGCTAGCTGGAAGGGAAAATACTTAAGCATGGCAGGTAGAGTAGTTCTGATAAAATCTGTCCTATCTGCTCTCCCTTACTACCAGATGCAGTCAACCTTACTGCCAAAAGGAGTCTTGGTAGAAATCGAGAAGCTGTGTAGGGACTTCTTCTGGAATCATTCAGCTGATGCGAGAAAGTTGCATTTGATAGCTTGGGATACCATTAAAAGTGATAAACAGACGGGGGGCTTGGGAGTTAAAGATCTGCACTTCCAAAACACGGCGTTTATCCTGAAATTATGCTGGGGACTCCTAACCAAGTCAAACGCTATGTGGGTAAAAATTTTGAAAGCCAAGTACAAATGTGGCTGTGAAGAATGGCCAAAGGTAGTGGCCAAAGGGAATCAATCAGCAGTATGGAGGAGTATTACTGCAGTTTGGGAAGTTTTTTCAAAAGGTGTGGGGAAGAAAATCAGGAGTGGTTCAAACACTAAAGCGTGGCAGGAAACTTGGGCCCCACTCGATTTACCACTCAAAGAGTATGTGATCAAAAACCACCAATCCCTCGATATGGAAGCTAAGGTTAGCCAGTTTATGCGGCAAAGGGGGGAGTGGAATTTAAGACAATGGAGCGTTTTCTTACCCCAGTGGGTAGTAGATAAAATCCAGAATATAACACCCCCATCTTGTGAAGGACCCGATGTCTTCTACTGGAGGAAGAGCTCAGATGGCACCTTTAGCATAAAGTCAGCTTACAATTGGGTGTCAACTCAGAATCTTAGACCAAAGAACTCTCACTGGAATTTTGTCTGGAAACAGGACATCCCGGAGCGAGTGAAAGTTTTTATGTGGCAGTTGTTTCATGAGAAACTACCAACTAATCTGGCCAGAGCTAAACACTGCAGTACTACCGTTCCTGAGTGCCCCTTTGAGTGCCTTTGTGAGGAAACACTGCTACACACCCTGAGAGACTGTGAAAATGCCCATGGAGTGTGGTCTGCTTTCATTAACCCTGTTTATTATGTTGGTTTTTTTAGTGGTAATTTTCAGGATTGGCTGCGGTGGAACTTAGAGAATGAACCAGGTTCAAGACAAGTATCAAAGTGGAGGTGGTTTAGAGTATTTTCTCTAGTCTGCTGGATGATATGGAAAAATCGGTGCAAGAAGGCGTTTAATGAGGACCACGTATCACCCAGGGAATTGATCAACCATTGTCTACACATGCTCATGGAAGAAGTGAAGAACAACCAGCTTAAACATCAGATATTCCAAACAAACGTGGAAGCAGATGATACATGGACCCCACCACCGCCATCCTATGTCAGAGTGGATGTGGACGGCTCTGTGACTGACCAAAATCAAGCGGCGTGTGGGGGGATCCTGCGGGATGAAGACGGGAATTGGCTATCAGGCTTTCAACAGAAATTGGGACCAGTGGGTTCGACAATTGCTGAATTATTGGCGATTAGAGCGGGACTGGTATTATGTAAAAAGCTACACCTCTCAAAGATCAAACTGTACACAGATTCGAGAGAGGCGTTATACCTCCTTCAGCATGGAGGTGGAACTTCACATCCATTTAAGGAGGAAATCTATGAAACAAGGTCCATTATCTTCTCAAACTGGAATCTGGAAGTATCATACGCCTGTAGGGAATCGCTGCGATGCGCGGACTACCTAGCGAGGAAGGCTCACAAAGTTTCTATGGAGCTGAATCAGGTTCAAAATCCTCCAAGATTTTGTGTTCACCAAATGCAACAGGACGCTGAGATTTGTCTCAGGACGCATCTGACTTAGGCGTGTTCTTTTTGCTTTGTTTGTACTTCAAGCTCTCGCTTGCCTTCTTATTCGAAAAAAAAAAAAAATTGCGAGCACTGTCCAGAGATCGGATAGAATCATGGAACGAAACCTCAGCTTGGAATCAGATTATACAGACAAATTTAGATGACAAAGAAGTCGAGAAAAATAACACTGAACAACATCGTATATCCATATTTCTTCAATATATATAAGAGGTAGAATTTACAGAGTCTCCTACATTGTTTTTTTTTCTTTCGCATAATCCGCAAAACACTATTGAAAATTTTGTGTTTTGCAGAATGCAGTTTTCCCCTAATCTATAACGCTCTTTTCTTTTCCTCGGCCTTACAAATTTCCTAAAGGAGAAACGGCAATCTCTACCAGCACTGATCCGTCTCCCATCTGCGGGTCGTATAAAACCCAGAAGAGGCATTCTGAACCGCCGACGACGATACCGGCCGCCTCCTCCCATGAACAGCCATCAAAGAAAGATCGTAGATCGCTCTCGCCGAGGGATCGGAGAGAGTGGCGTAGGCGTTGTGAATCTCGATGAAGTCCTGGTCATCGTCATACTCCGATCGATGCAGCACCGAATCAGGATGGTAGATCTTAGCCAAACTCCGGTAAGCCGATTTGATCTCCCTCGGAGAAGCGTTCTGACTGACTCGAAGCACCTCGTAGAGACTCGCCGGCCGCCGAGATGCGACAGCCGCAGATCCGGCCTCAGTCGCAAAAGACCGCATCGAAGCCCTACATTGATGAGGAAGAAACCTGACGGAGGAAGTAGCCGCGCCGTTGGAAGAGGAGGAACGGACAGGACTGACAGCGGGGAGCGAAAAATTTAGGGTTCCAGCCAT